GTTAAATCTTTGTGTTGCAACTCTCTCTCTCTCCACACCTTTTAAAACACATGGCGTTTTTTCACAATGACATGTCCTAAGGTGAAGGTGTGAAAACGTGTTTTTAGACCATGACATTAGACGTATTGTGGGGTGTGCCGCTGGGACCTCAAACCCTGATCCTGTTCCAGAGTGAAATCGCTGAAAACTATACCCTGTTCCAGAGTGATATCGCTAAAAACGCGAGTAATCTCTCTCTGGGGGTGATTACGCTTTGCGTTTTGACACCGGAAACGGATGCGAAGGAGACTAATTTAATGCGAGTCCTGGACAACTTTGCCATAACGCATTTTGCGGAAATTCCGGGGGGCAACTCCCCTATATTTGCTGTACGTATTGCCGATCGATAGGGTCCCTTTTTTTGAAGCTCCAAGTCTGGAATATGGTATCATTTTTGCCCATTTCTCTGGGATAGGGTAGTTTTTTGTTTAGGATAGGGTATAGTCTCATTGTCTGGGATAGGGTAGTCTTTTTGTCTGGGATAGGGTAGTAGTTTTGTCTGGGATAGGGCGCCACATCGGCCTCATGTGGGCACCCCCTAGTGCAATTCGTATTTTCCAGATAGCACGTGTACCACATTTGATTTACTAAAGTCAACGTGTCTTTGATTGACATGCTTGGGCATGTTTTGTTTGACTCTTATATATACGGCCATGCCATTTTGCGAAGCACCCACGATACTTAAACTCTTAAACACTCTACAATGCACCATGGTCAAGACAAGCCTCCAAGCAAGAAACGAAAGCAACCGTTACTTTTCGCCAAGATCTAAAAACAACATGTAAGTAAAAATAGTAATATTTCTTTATCAAGTTTGGCTAAAAGAATTTACAGTAGTATACCGAAATAGTGATAAAGGAAAGCTGTGCAATATGCTAATATAGTTCGTTTTTAATGTGCTTTTCATTATTAACTGCAGTTTATGCCATTACGTCGACACTGGTCGAAAGTCACCAATAGCCGCTCAAACTGTGTTTTGCACGAGTTGCCACAAACATGTGGAAGACGTTGTGTTGGTACTACTTAGGAAAAGGACAAAGCSTATTTTGCCGTATGGCTCCCAAATATCGTGGCGAGGACATTTTTTTATGGCGCTCGCTTCCCACTGAGACCACAAATGCCTGGGCTCAGTGCTACATAGAATTTCACAAGCGCAGGCAAGAAGAAAGCAAGCTTTCTACGCGAAAAGTGTATGAAATGTTGAAAAAACAAAGGAACCAYTTTTTAAAATGYAAATTTMAAGGCAAAATCCAGTTGTAAGTTTTGATGACACTTAATAAATGTTTTTTATAAAAAGGACGTCTTTTGACTGTATATCAAATCACACCACCATTCGTAATCTTTAACAAAATCTAGGATTTACATTGTGTAAACCATAACTTTCGAAGATGTACATGGATAATAATCGCACCACTCTTCCGTTCGAATCTTTCACAGGATGTATGGCAAGAAAACGTACGATAAAATCAGTCAACAAACATGACCATTTTTTTCGTTTCTCTTAGTCTTGACTTGCCACAGAATGTGTGGTTAAACTCGTCTATCTAGAGGTGTTGCACCATAATTTCAATCTTGTCTGGTGGCATATAGGTTTTTATATAGTACCCAGTTGTATTTAACAACTCTTAAGTTTTGACTATATATCGCTTTGCAGAACACGTCGGCTCACTTCTTGTACGATTTCGCGATCTAGCAATCCTACGTTTTCGTCGACTGTTAATGTTTTCAGATAATTATAACCACAAAGAACTCCCCGTACCTCTCTAAAGATTTCCGGTCCCTAACCACGCCCCTCTTGCCTCAGCAGGGTAGTCAGCGTGGCGTGTTGCTGGCTCTAAATGCCTCGTAAAATTGCAAGTCTGATGAGTACTGATTTTCCATTGAGGAACTTGAAGATTTTTTCAATTTGGCGCTATACTTTGATCCATTTTTACTTATCCAATAAGACTCTATCTCTATCTATCTCTTCACTATAGTGCGAGTTTTTTGTTTTCCTAATTATAGCGCCTTTTGCTGTCAAAATGCGTAGCTCTGGCAAGAGTTGTTCTTATAATTTATTGTGTATTTTATTTTGTACAACATCACGTCAGCAAAAGGATTTTAATCCTTTTGAAAGCACGTGTCTTGCAGATTCGTGTCTCTACAGAATCGTGTTGTCTCTACGTTTTGTCCTCCCCCCCCCCCCCCCCCCCCAAATCAACACGTCACAAATTGTTTTATGGGCGGCAAAAAGTCACAATTAAATTATGGCCAAAGGTCACGCACTACACGTCGGTTATGAGAACATGCCCCGTCACGCAGTAAAATCGTGTTACGTAGAAAGCATCTTTAACTACTGTGACTCACCTTATGTATTGCATCTAATGCTTGTTGCACTTGTTTCTGTATTTGGTCTCCAATCACCATATTGCTTATTCGCTCAAGAAGCCGTGCAAGTGAAGTCAGGGT